CCCGCCCCTCCCGTTCCGCCAGTCAGCGCTGGTGGATCGGGGAGGGGGAATCGGGCAGAGAGCCGTGACAGGATTGAGAGGTGAGCGAACGCCGGTATGTGTTTGCTCACCTCCCGATCTACTGAGCCGACCTGTGACAGTCTCATTGTCACAGGTCGGCTAGAACTAGGAGGTGAGTGAAAAGCACTCATCTCATAGTTCTCTTTTATATTTATTTTTTTCCCCCCGCCCAAATTTAAAATATATTTAAAAAAAATAAACTTTACTGCTGCAGGGAAATATTGGAGGTCTAAAACAGACTCCTGATATTTCCCTTTTGCAACAGGAAAAAGAGATTGATAACAGTCCTAACTCTCTTTCAGCAGCCACAGCACTGAATGAACAGGAATCCTCTGTGCGGTACTGCGTGTTCCTGTTCATCCATAAATTGGGGATATAGTATGAGTTACTATGTACACAATCATGAATGAATAGCAAGTGATGTAGAGCACTTCCTGTTCATTGATAACTGGTACATAGTAACTCATACTATATCCAATTATTTACAAACATTCAGCGATCACTGGGAGATGGGGGTGCGGGAGGAGAGCTCCTCCTGTGACACGCTCACAGCGCTCTCCTCTCTGCTCAGAGGGGACACAGAGCAGCGCCCAGCGAGGAGAGAAACTAGGAATGCAGCACAATTTTGTCCCCCCAAAAAAATTGTACTTTCTACATTTTCTCCAAAGTGCCATTTCCAGACGATATTTTTCCACAGCCAAAATTTTGTTAAATTACATACTGGGTAGACTCACTAAAACTGGTCGTCAAGTTGATCCTCTTGGTCCTTCAAAAACAATATGCTGAATATTTTCCAGGACTAATTCTTTAGCACTAAAAGTGTGTACACATACGATTTTTGGAAAGTATCAAACTGACCTTAATATACTCTTGTTGTTTTCTTCCTGATTGGGGAACAGAGTTGGTCTCTTTTGGTGTCAAAGGACCAGCTGATGAGGTAGGTGTATGGAAGACAAGCCTAGCTTGAGCTTGAACAGATTTTAGAGCAGAACGGTTTACCACTTGTAATCTGGTAGCAACTTGTAAACTGGGACGAGCATCTTCAGAAGAAAACACCCCCTCTTGTTTCAAAATAAAAAAAAAAAAAAAAAAAAAAAACATGTTATCTGGAGCTGAACATTTAGGTTATACTTTCATCTTCACACACAGTCACTTATAGACTACTTTAGGCCCCATTCACACTGCGCGATTTGCAAATCGCGCATTTTTGTCACGCAATATCGCACAAATGCTTGCATTGGCAAGCTAGAATCGCGACAAAATCCGCTCCAAAAAGGGTCCTGCTGTAGCGACGCACGACCGCAGGACCCTTTGCCAAGCATTGGAGAGCGGGAATTACCGCGTGATAAATCGCTCAGTGTGAACGGGGCCTTAAGCTGCTGACAGCTAGTGCACTTATCCAGAGATATTTAAGGGCTTATGCATACATATATAAAATATTCCTGTATTTGCAATGCCCGAGAGCCACAGCAGCTGCAGTTTTCTGTCCACAGTAATATACTTCATTTAGGAGTTGTGCCAACTAATTAGCTGGCTCTCCTGCTTCCTCACATCAGGAGAAACTCTTTAGAGCCCATTTACACCAGTTCCTTTTTTCAACGGAAGTGCACCAACAAAAAAAATGTTTTTAATTATACTGAATGGGTGTGAATGGAGTTAGTTTACATTGCTCCGTTGCATTGAGCTGAGGGCACAAAAAAAAAAAAAAATAGAACATTTAGATTTCATTTTTCAGTGCCCTCCCATTAGCATCTGTTGAAAAACAGAAGGTACAACTGCAAGTTAACTTGCGATTTTCTTCCAATTTTGGCATAAATGCACCCTTACAGCTGAATGTAAATGGGTGAAACTTACTGCGAGAGAGAGATATATAGCTGCAAAGACATGAAACATTAGGGAAGAAGATTACCTCTATGTCAGCTCTCAGCTTTTTCAGAAACACTTTTCTTCTTTGATGCGCATCCTTGTCTTGAATCACCATCTCCCGCCATCCCTTGCTTACTTTCCATATGCTAAAAAGGAGATACATTAAAAACTGTTTTAGGAAATGCACCGAAAGAGAAATTTAAAAACCGAAATAAAAAAAAATGTCAGGCCGAAACCGAAAATGTTTATTTACATTTTTTCAAATATTTTTATATTCAATTAATTTATCAAATATTTTTACTTACTTTTAGGGGTTTTCAGGGAAATATTAGGGGTCTAAACCCCTGATATTTCCCTTTTAAAATAGAAGAGATTGAGAACACAGAGTCCTCAATCTCTTTTTCTGCAGCCCCTGTTATCAATGAACAGGAATCCTCTATGAGTCTTCCTATTAATTTATAACATGAGAACATTGTAACTACAACTATGAATGAACAGGAGGTAATGTAGATCAGCGCTTCTTAAAGTGTGGGTATCGACCCCATATGAGGTCCTGTGAACAGGGGGGGGGGGTGTCGCCAGGACCACCATCAGCGGGGTACGGCCAGTACTTGTGTGAGGAGCCCAAGCGGACGAGGAGACCTGGGCTCCTCCTAGCTAGATTGTTTTATTTCAGTTTAATGTATAATTTGCAGTGCAGTGTAGTTTTTAAGGTTGCGGCCCCCCTGTGCACTTGGTACCTTCCGTTTTTTTTTTCTTTTACATTGACTGAATCCTTCTTTAACCCAGCAGCAGCAGAGCGCAGCTGCTGGATGTAAAGGTAAGGAGGTGGTGGGGGCTTAGTAGTACTGACTGACCGACGCTGGGGGGAGGGGGAGAAGAAGGCAATCAATGATCGCTGAGTGTTTGTACTCGCTCTCCTCTCTGACACGCTGTCTCAGGAGGCTGAGCGAGCGGAGCAGGGAGGAGAGCTCAGCCTCATGTGACAGCGCTGTGGAGGGCCCACAATGCTCTGCCGGACTGAGATAGGCGGCCGAGCGGTGTGGGAGGAGAGACGCAGGCCGCTCACAGCGCTCTCTTCCCGCTGCGCTCGGCCGGCTGTCACTTTCTCTCCTCCCTGCTGGGACACAGAGCAGCGCCCAGCAGGGAGCAAAGAAACATGGGATGCGCCGATGTATCGGCAGGAAAATGGCACTTTCGGCATTTAGCCAAAAGTGCAATTTTCGACCGATATTTCGGTGCATGCCCAATTTGTTTCATATGGGTTATAGAATTGTGCAGAAGGATGTTTGTCCGATTTTATAGTCGGACCTTTTACTTTAAACAAGTACACAAATTTTGTTCCTTTGCACTCAGAAGCAAACTGACTACACCAGCCATATCACATCCCAAACTGACCAATTGGTCCATCAATTTATATTATATTTTTTACCTTTTGGCTTGAATATAGATTACAGCATGTTTGATTGAATTATCTTACTGTTGATTCATTAGCTATGCCTGACATCTGTTCCAAGCATCAACTACTCTTTCCTTAAAACCTTACTTTAAGGTTACTTTTGAACTTTCCGGTCAATTCCACATGTTTCAGCTTCAAGTTAAAGATACTGTCCTCATGAACCTTATGCACACCACATGCTATGTTGCTGTAATGCATCGCAGGGCTAGCTGCCCCCACCCGCTTTTTTAACTTGAGAACTATGGGGTAAGTGTTTTTCCCCATAGTTCTACTTAGGGTCACGGGAGGACATATACTAGCCCTCCTCCCGTGACCCAAAGCGCAGTATATAGCGAGCACAGCTCGTGGTATACTGAGACCGCCACAGCCGGGATGGATCCCGACAATGCTGTTGAGATCCACCCAGCTGCGCGAATGACAGCGGGCTCTGCCTATCTAGAAGCAAAGTCAGCTGTACCAACCCTCCCCCCACTCAGCACTGGAGGATTGGAGCGGAGTGGGGGGAAATCCTTGCAGGGAGCAGTAATGACAATCACCGCTATCTGCAGGGAGATGATCGACAAGTGAGCGAGCGACGGTATGCGTTCGCTCATTTCTCGATCTATTGAGCCGGCGTGCGAGTTTCATTGTCACGCGTCGGCTCGAACTAGGTAGGAGAATGAGTGATTTTCACACCTCATAGTACTCCTTTAAATGACATTTAACTCAGCTAATCATCTATATATTGCAGCACACTGTGGTGCAATGCATAAAAATGTAGCATGCCTGTATTTTCACTAATTTGGCGAGAAGGAAGCATAGACGTGAATATTTTTTGCTGTATCCTGAGGGTTAGGATGATCAGCTCAAAGCAACTGATCTGAGCAAGCCCCAACATATTTAAAGTTTCAATAATGCCCCCACCTATCCTTGGGGCTTTACATATTAGATTCCTGCAGTCTTTTTGATTTGATCTTAACCATCAGGCCTTGACACCGTTTTTGATGCCAGTCTCTGGATTTTCACCAAAACTGAACTTCGTATTCTAAAAAGGTCCAACTAAGAACTTTATATATGGGAATTAGGACCTCCTTCCTAGTGCTGCACCCATGAGTTCTATTTGCTTTCCCTACTGCCTGGTCACACGGTTTGCTTATTTTGCAATCATCTAAAAATGAGCACTCCAAGTCTATCTTCTGTAGCTTTGGCCACCCCCGAAACATTGAACTGCAGTCTCCACCGCTTTGATTAATTTTCCAGCAATGCCAGATAATGCTCCATGTCCAATCTGTCAGAACAAAAACACATGGTTTAGTAGTACATTTTCTTTGCAATTACCTGCAAATGCTGTCAACGTCCAAGACTTTAAAGATAAAAGTTAATATGTGGTTCAAGTTTCGGAATTTCAACTCGTACAAAATGTCTACTTTTTCAAGACCCATTTTCCTGCCAATGAGTCTTGCGAGCACATCTTCTGATGCTGGTGAAGAATCAAAACTGCCTAAGAGGTCCTGCACGGTGGTCTGCTGAGCCCTCTTTCGGGTACTTTTTGCCAGCATATCATGAACAACACGCAGGGCAGGTGTACCCGTTAGGTCCTCAACCTTTAAGAGACAATTGGTTTGGCAATCCACAAAGCTTAGTTCATTTTCCTCATCCACGGAGTCTCTTGCGACTTTTGATTTGTAGGTGGAACTTAGTATATGCTTTTCACTATAATCTTCCTCAACTTCAGACTGTGACCCTCGCTCCCGCAAAGTGGAGAGTCTCTTACACCTATCCAATTTTCGGAGGCGACTTTTGCTAGGAGCAGATTTTGGGGTCAACTTTTGTTTTTGAATTAGCTCCTGGAAAGAGCCTTCATGATCAGTTAAAGAGTCCTGTGATTTATCAAAGCTGAGTGAGTGAAAGGCACTATCCTCATTTAATGAATTTTCCAAGTCACTCCCTTGTGCTGCAGTGGGCGTACATAGAGTAAAATGAAAACTAGCTGCAAGATTGCCAACAGGCGTTAGAAAATCATCTTTGGCATGCGACATTAAATTGCAGACCGGAGTAGCGGGCATCTCTGGGGTGTTCTCTTCATTACTACTCAGAATGCTGTCATTGGGAGAATGTGATGAGTGTTTAACTGGAGACAGGTTGTCTACCTCTGGGAAAGGATCATGGTCACATTTAAAATCATCTATGGTGGAAGACCTCTGTTGAGCAAAAGATATCCTCCAGTTTTTACAGGAGGTGCCAACATCAGGCTCCGCTTTTAAAGTGCTTGTTGCTAAGGGTTTGTAAATGGTTTCTCTCGGGGAGTCTAAACTTTTCGAAAGTCTTGTCTCAAATCTAGCAAGGTGCTGAGGAGCTTTCTTGCTTCTGGATGTGTCCATTGAACATTCGGAAGTTTCAAAGTCCAGGGTTCCACCAGATGTAGCTTTGGCTACAAGTAGTCTACGTCGCAGTGAAAAGTCTTTTTTAATAACACGCGGCGTTTCATAGATTTCAGCCTGCCTTTTATCAACTGCACCAGTTCCAGGTTCCCAAAATATTTCACTTCTCACAGGAGAGCACAGTAAAGTAGGGTCTAGGTTTTCGGAATTTTCATATTCATTAGAGAAAGTATTACTTTCTGAAGAGTCATTGCTGCTTTCACAGCATCCAGGGCTGAAGGCCTTGAGCGATTCATTGTAGCCACTGTCTTGAGATATACATCTCTGAGACTCTCTGTAGCCAACATTTTTCTTTGCACCCGGAACATAACCAATGTGGTTTGCAGCAGGACTGTCAAAAACAGGTCTATTGTAGGCCATATCCGGTTTCTTTTTTCTGTAAGCCTAAAACAAAACAATATAGTTAGTAAAAACAGTGCCAGTAAATAGGATACATTTATGTCTAAGTTGAATTTTTTGGATGTAATTTTTTCTAAATGGTTAAAAAAAAAAAAATTTTTTACTTATGATATACAGCCGAGTGATACATTTTTTTTTTTATTTTTTTTTACATTTACAAAAAAGGTACTCGAATGCACTTTAAGATTTAACTCGGAGTTTGGTGTCACTTTAACAGCGCACAGCATTCAGCGACTGGAATAATAAACCACCTTTTTTTTGCATTCTGCCAGATTTGGACTCCTGAAGCTAGTGGTGGAGCACAACGATCAGTTGCAAAGACCACAACTGCGCTTTATAAAATGTACTTTTTTTTTTAAAATAAGGGCAAATGTACAACCATAAGTTTGTTTGTTTTTGGGATTCCTAATTGGACTCCTTTAAAATCACACTAAAGATGTTGAAGCGCTACACAGAAGGTTTACAACAACTTGTATGATCATGGCTTTTGTGAATAAATTTATACTAATATTTCATGTTTTGCAGATTATGACCAGTGCTCAAGATTCTTGCTGCAACAAAACACCTGAATTACAAAACTCTTTATTATAAAAAACAACCCCCCACACACGCATCAACTTTAAACAAAAATAGGACAAAAAAAAAAAATGTGTCTGGCAAAAAGTTCAAGATCCCATTCAGATCGTTATAGGCAAACCAGCTTCCCAACTATCTAGTCAACGTGTAAGATCTAGGTGTGGGCACTCAGCATACAACTGCACCAAATGTACATTTCGAGATGAATTTCTGTGAGCATGCATGTAGGTTAGGGCGCATGCACACTGTCATTAGGGAAGAACACTTCGGGTTAGTTCACACCATAAACTGCATCACAACTGCGTGCGTCTGCGCAGTTGCATTGCGATCCGTTTTTTTTTTTTTTACTAAAATGCTAAATTAGACAGTTTGGTTGCTTCCTTTTTCCTGTCAGAGCATTTCCTTCGTTTGTTTTGGAGCTCAACACATGCTTTTTTTGTTGGCTGGCATGGTGATAGTGTTTGCTGTAGCCATTCTCAGACAACGCCTTCGCAGTAAGTCTCTGGATAATGACAATCAATTGTGTGTGTGTTTGTGGGGGGTCGGATGACAGTACTTCTGACTGCATCTGAACGGACTGCAATGGTGTGAATACAGCACGAGAAAGTCCATAGGAAAGCATCGTGATGCATTTCGGCTGCAGCAGCCAAACTGAACGGACTGCATCACAACTGCATATGGTGTGAACTAACCCTTCAAGTTAAGAGTTACTTAAATGCCGAACACAGCAAAGGCTGCTTTTGACCTCATTTGCCTTCTCTAGCAATCAGCTATGGGTATTGACCGCATGTCTGCAAGCACATCTCCAGACTTCCTATAGCTTATCCACCACGGTAGAAGAATCAAATGGCAAGGCATTTTCATTGTGTAATGCAGTGGTGAACATATTGCAGTGTAACTTGTGTATTGCAGTGTGAACTGCCCTGATTGCGGTGTGTCAGGACTGCAGCTGAATGCACCATTACAGTCAGCCCTGTTTCATTCAAACAGCTTTGCGGTTAGCCACAACAGCGGAGCTTACACTGGCGTTTTCCTACATGTGAAACATTTAGGCTTCATTCACACTTCTGTTTTTATAGAGATCAGTCAGCAAAATCTGTCAGGCTAGATGCTTTGTTTATGCTTCTAGATACCTAAAATGACATGCGTTTATACACCTATGCACTTAGATGCATCTGTCTTTTGTCCATTTGAGCAGCCAATGAGATTTCTTCTAATAAACTCGTCTTGCGTTTACAAGTTCAAATCAATCCCTGAACGCACCCGACTTATTTCTAAACGCAGCTAAACTGACTACAGATAAAAGCATCTAAAATGCCAGGCGTGAATAGATATACTGGAAAGGATTAGATGCAAGTATGCATGGTCACATGTGCCAAAGTTCCAGGAAGTAAAAATGGAAATCTAGCAACCTGCCCTTAGTTAACATGGCCACAGTCAGAAGACTAGGGAAGAAAAGAGAAATAAAATATGCAAAGAATAGAAAGCAATTATCTGGAAGTATGTGTTTGTAGATTGTCATTACTAAACATTTCTAAAAGGGTGTCTTTGTTGTTATTTTACAGATATGGGTAAAGGTCGGGCTTTAAGACAAGACTCAATATGTATTGCATTATGGCAGCCTATACATTATGAAGTGCTGTGGTGCAGGTGCTTTGCCAACGCATGTATTCATACCTGTGCATTGCATTAGCACATTTTACTGTGCATCAGCCTAAACCTAGCAAATTCATCGTCCTGCTGCAAACCAACGCAGCATACCAGGTTCCACACCCACCACCATCCCCTCATGTCGTCAGGGAGCACCTGTCTCTTCCGGGTTCTTGCAACCAGCCCCCTGATGACACACTTGGTGCATGTGCAATGTGTTCTTGATTGGGCTGAAGCCTCCTG